GAGTGGCTTGTGACAGGCATGCTGGCAGGGGCGCCTCTCGCTGGCCCGGCGGCACTCGTTCACATCTAGGGTGGCAGAGCCAGGGGTCAGCACCTAGCAGCAGGGCCAGCCGGGAGGGCGGGCAGGGGACCCGGGAGCTCACTGGGGTCTGGGCAGGAGCCACGAAGGCTGGAACTGGGGGAGCTGGCCGGGTTGGGGCGTTCATCACCAGCCCTGCCTGCCTGCCCACTCTCCAGGGCCTCCAGATTGGGCACCCCAGCCCCACATGCTGACATCTCAGGCTTGTCAGGAGACAGGCTTCCGCCCTGGCATAACCCGAGGGGCTGGCAGCCGGCGGGCACCTCATGCCAGGCCTCAGGGAAAGGCAAGGCTGTTTCTGATCCAATTCCGAGCTCCCCCCCGGCTCTGAAAAGGCAGCACGAAGAGATTCAAACTGTCAGCTCTGGGGGCCTGGGTTGGAAGTGGAGTTGCTAGCTACTGCCAGGACACAGATTGGCAATCACTGGTGACCCCCCAGCCTCCTCTTTCCTCCCGCCCCCTCTCCTCCTCCTTCACAGCAGGGGGAGATGGGCAGGACCATGCTCCAGTCGCTGCAGTGACACAGGGCCACATGACGGGCAGCATGTGGTGGGGGACTGTTTTGTCCACTGAAGAGACCTCAACGGCCAAGGTCCCCCTTTCTGCCTCAGGGAAAAGCCTCAACAATCTCAGCCTAAGGGGCCATTTCCCCTGCTCCCTCCCCCCACGCTCCCATCTCGTGGGATGAGCTGAACATCTGCCCCGCTCCACTGGCTGCTATCTAGTGGTTGCCATGTACTGAGGGCCTGACATCTGGCCACTGAGCCCCCCCCACTCCCAGTTCCTTGGCATGGCCCTGGAGAAGCCCCTTCACCCCTCAGTGTCTCTGTTGGTGGCAGCGTGGGGATACCAACACACAGCCCTCCCCCGGAGTTGGGGGTGTCCTGCTGACTAGTCAGCACTCTGGAACTAAAGCCTCACTGGATGCAGGGAGGTCTCAGATGGGGCTGGGTGGGAAGAGGCCTCTTAGGAGGGGGTTGGGCTCACCCAGGCAGGAGTGCTGGTTGCTGTGCAGGTGGTAACCGGGGCGACAGAAGCAGCGGTAGCTGCCGACGCTGTTCTTGCACCGGTGCTGGCACGGGGTGGCTAGACACTCGTCCGTATCTGGAAAAGGAAAGGATGAGCCAGCCGCAACCCCCCTCAGAGCTCGCACCACCCTCTCCACACGCACTGGTCCCAGACATTTGGCCCAGCCCCCCCCACCTCCCACCTCGTTCTGTGGCCTGAGGCCCAGAGACTCACCCTGGCAGCTGTGACGGTCGGCAGCGAGCCGCAAGCCCGGGCCGCACTCACACACGAAGCCGCCCTCCGTGTTGACACACAACCCCTGGCAGGAGGCACTCAGGCACTCGTCAATGTCTAGGAGAGAAAGGGCCCCCCCTGGCTGTAGTATCCAGGGAGGAGCAGACCCCCCCCCCGAACACCCAGCCAACCCTGTGTATGGCTGAAGGAACGTGGGCAACCCCGCCCACTGATCAGCTGTAAGAAGAAAGTGATGCTGCTGATCCAGCCTGTCCCCTGGGGGATTAGCCAGGGGTGGGGGAAGCTCACAACAACGCTGGCTGGGTCATTGGTGGGGATTGAACCTGTGACCAGCGGGACAAGCCACAGTGAAAATACCCAGCTCCGCTAGCCAAGACTAAAACAGGCTCAGCCGCCTCTTCCTGTGGCTTGGTCACCCCCTGCCACCCCAGCTGCTCATCAGTGGCTGCATCGCTGCCCGTACCCGGCCAGCACTCAGCCCCACCACTCACTGCCCTTCGTAGCTCTGCTGCTTCAGTGAACCAGGCCCACGGGTCCAGGCTCTGATCAGGGGTCCACCCAACGGCAGGCGAGCTCTCACCTGTACAGCGCACACCATTGGTCGTCTCCACCATGGAGAAACCCAGTGGGCAGACACGGGCCACCTCCCGGCAGCCACCATGGTTGCAGGCGAGGTCACAGCCGTACTCCCCGCAGGCACCCGGCAGATCTGAAACACACACGGAAGCAGGCTGAGGGACAAGTCAGGTCCCAGTGGGAGAGCATGAGGGTCATGGGGCACAGGGGCTCCCCTGCCACTCCCCTACCCACGGAGAAGATGCGCTGGTGGAAAAGAAAGTGGAGGCTGCTGGTCCCCTCTGGCTCTCCATACGCAGACTGCATGGTGGCACCTCCCAGTCCTGGCCTGGGATTCTGGCTCAGTGAGGCAGGGGCTGCGAGCGGCTCAGGATGTGGAGCCCGTGGCCTGTGTTATGTACTAAGAACACTGGCTCAGGAACCCACCAACATCCACACAGCTGCCCGCAGCCTCAGCACTGCTCTGAACCCCTCGTCCCCGCTATTCCCAGTGGATTCAGGCCCTCTCCAGACGTGGGGATCCAACTGGAGATGGGCAGTTCTGGGATCTGATTTCTAGGGATGCTAGGAAGCAGCAGGGTGGGCAGCCCAACCCGGCAGCAGGGCAGCTCCCCTTGCCTCTGTGCCCTTGGGCCAAGCTGGCCTGTGCCACCTGGGCTACAGCTCCTCACCCAGGCCCCCCGTGACCACCCAACTGGGCAACATCCCTCTGCAAAGATGGCCTCCCAGCCTCAGCCCGAGAGAGCACCCTTCTCCCATGAGCGCCCTCCCCTGCTGCGGAGAAAGGGCCAGAAGTGTGCAGCACGGGGGTCCAGGTACCTGGGCAGGTGATGCCCTGCTCTCCATCCCGGCAGGAGCAGACGTTGGGGGCGATGCACCAGCCGCTGCCACAGCCGAAGGAGCAGAGTGCTGCAGGAGAGGGGCCGGGAGAGAGGCCCATCAGGACACAGGACGACATTTCCACAAGGGGCAGCTCTAATGCACCCAGCCTAGTGGGGACCAATGGGAAGAGCAGGCACTGTCTGGAAAGAGCCCCCCAGTCCCCAAGCAGAACAGGTAGGCCATCAATCCCATGGGACAGCGTTGGCTGCTGGGAGGCACATGAAGGAAGTGATTGGGGAGGAATGGATCTTTGAAGGAAGGGGGTGAGTAAGGGCCCCTTGCAGATATGGGAGGAGGGGCAGGAGCCATAATGAGCAGTTTGCCCATGGGAGGCCTGGGAGCAGGGTGGTGACTGTGCCATGGAGAGGCAGAGTCCCAGGCCCCTGAGGCTGATGGGGAGATGCTGTCTGTGCGGCAGACACTCGGTGATGGTGGTGGGTCATGGAGGATTCAGGATACTCACGCAGGGTGCACTGCCCACTGGCTGGGGACGGCATCCACCCAGGGCAGCATCCGCTCCCAAAGCCCGAGAGGCAAACATGGGGCCCCACCCGGCGCCTGGGAAGGAGAAACAGGAGATTCTCTGGGACAGGGCTTCATAGGGAGAGTAAGCCCACAGAAGGTTCAGGGGGATGTAGGGACCAGCTGTTCCCACCCCTTCTCCTGCCACGGATGTGTGAATGAATGGCTCCTCTGGGCAGGGACCCAAGGCCCCAGGGGGCAGCAGGACACGGGTGCTGAGGCCACTTGGCTTGCTCTGCTCCCCTCCCTGGGACCCTTGTTTTCATGAGGCTGTGGCCCCGCCTGAGCTGCCTCTAGGACCCCAAGAGTGTGAGCTGGGGGTTGGGGAAGAGGGTCCACCCCCCCCTTGCTCCCAGCAAGAACTGCAGAGGGGCAGAAGGGAGGGCAGCCTAGGCAATCCTCCCATCCAACATTGGCCCCAGAGCCCAGGCCGGCCTGAGGCAGCCAGGTGGAAGGGAAGGTCTGGGTGCGAGCTGGGCGGGCAGAGCTCTCCCCGGGAGAGAGAGACAGACACTGGGGGGCGGGGG